TATATGTGTTTGCAATAGTTTAATTCTAATAATAATAATAGTAAGAAGAAGATTTCTAATTATGAAGCTTTGGCAGTGTTTGAGAATGTCTAGACTTCACATGTGCACATTGCGGTTCGTTCCGATGGAGCTTTGGGGCTTCAGCTACATCTTAGTCTATTGACGCTTCAAGTATCCCACACTCTGAAAGCCCCACCTCTTGAAACAGTCTACCACTAGGAGTTAATCTCTAATTGGGCGAACAGCGTGGACAAGAGCAGGAAAAATGAGGGAGATAAATGCTAGAGAAAGATAATAAAAACATTTTACTGCCAAGTCCTCTTTACGTTTAATCCTTCAGGCTCACTTTTTCTTCCCACAGTCAATTTATTTCCTGCTTTGTTTCAAGAATTCATCCCACAAGACTTTCAGGAGAGAGGAGAGCAGACAAATAGAGAGGTGAAAGAGGATAGAGACCGAAGGAGGGAGAATAAAATTCAGCCTGCTGCTAAGCTCAAACCCCCCCCAGAGTTTAAGGATCACTAGCATTGAGCAAGATCTGCTCCACAAATCCAGCATAATCCCTCTGCCACACTGTGACCAGTTCCTCTTTGACAGAGGAGAGTGTGTGTGTGTTGGAGGGAGTGTGTTTGTGTGAAGCCGAGTGGAGTTCATGTATGTCATGTGCTCGAGGTAAATCTGCCTTGATTAGGCCTCTTTTATGTAGTTTCTTTTTCTTTTTTCTGGACTGTTTCTTTCTAAATCACTGGGGAATTACAGGGCTGGAGCAGGTGTTTATATTTGTTATTTCAGATCCTCTCACATCTGAAACACACATCCATGTCCTGGCCTTAGGCCTTGTTGTTACGGAGACTTTGTGGTTGACAGCGACTGAATTTGATGTTGTTCATTGGAACGTTGACAGCAAATACCACATGGTTAAATTGGACCTATTGGTGGGCTGAGCTTCAGTGCTCATAGCCTGAAACGGTCTGAAACTGAGGATTGATGACTTGTAAATATGCTGACTTCATTACAGGAAAGTTCCGTGTTTAACATGGGCATCCACTGAAACTGTATAGTTACATAGTCTAGATATGTGACAGAATAAAGGAAAAAATGCACAATAAGCTCCTTTAACGTGGATTGTGGAGACAAGTTCAAGAGATTTATGAGAAAAGCCTTCCATTTTTTCTGCCTTCCTCCATTTCTCTAATAATTGGTGTGCAGTCCCACAGGAGGCAGGGGAATAGTACTGATGGTGTTTAATACATTATCTGATCAATCACTCAGAAAAATAAGCAGCACTTAACACCATCTATTTGTAAATCACCGCCGCCAGCATTTCAGCTCCTGTGCAGTATGTTGGATGTGCGTAGGTGTGATGGTGAGAGGAGCAAGGTGGAGCTAGCTCCCGTCTGACCTCACTCTGACCCCAGGAAGGATGTAGCTGATGTCAGGAAGGAAGGGTTTAACATCTTCTTACAAGGACAGTAGGATCTCTCAGAGGGGGGTCTTTTGGCCCCACTTCATACCCCTGTTTGACCCAGACTCACTCTTTCTGACCCCTGTGTGTGCAAAGACACACACTTACACACTTACACAGCTCCATCTTTCATTCTTGTCTTTGTCAGCCTATTTGGGTCTTTCAGTGCTACCGTTTTGACAGGACAAAGAAGCCTTTCCTCCGTTGTTTATCATCTCCATCTTCCTCTCAGTGGTTCCTCCTCTTTAATCTCCTCCCAGGTTGCCTGTGAGGGCTTCCCTTTCTCTTATCCACCTCTAGATATTTATTACCTCTTAAGCCCCGGTCAGGCAAAAGCCCTCAGTGGCAGCTTGTAAACTGCATCTGTCTCCCTAATCTGACCAGTTGATTAGCTAAAGCTATCAGGTCGTCCCCTGCTCTCTCCTGCAGGTGACACAGGGGATTGATGGGCTTTTAAGTAACTCTCAGTCTGTTGTTTCTCTCTTTCCTCATTTTTCTCTCCAGTCTGTAACTGTAACTAAACTCTCCGACCTCCTGACAGGCACCTGATGGATCATTTCAGTCGTCCCTGAGGCACACTGTAACTGTGTAAATGCGTCACTTTTAAGCACAACACTTTTCTTGTCTTGTACTGTGCATAACATTAGAAAAAAATAATCATCACACATGTTATTAGTCTTCCACTTAGTTCTAGTATTGTGCTGAAGTGCCCTGAAAGTTGACATTAAGTTATCATGAGGTAGTAACAAAGTGCCATCATTAGCTGAAATTCAGAACTAATTGTCAAAGTAGCATGTTGATTTGCTACATTAAGGTAAATATGCTAAAAAATATGCTAATATCACACCCACGTTTCATCAGAGTGCTTACTGAAATTAGCATTCAGGTCAAAGCACCACCTGCTCTGTGATCACACACACCCACCTTTATTCTCTCTCATTTAGCTCTGTATTTCTCATGCCTGTCCTTAAATCGCTGCCTCCTTTAATTCCTTTGTGCTGCTCAATGGTGATAAAGTCCAGACCTCCATTAGTGAATCATGCTGAAGACTGGTTGTTTATTAAGTGTGACTCAATTTGGAGCAGCTGAACTGGCGCTGTGGCAGTAACACCACCTGGTCTATGTGCGTCTGTGTTGTGAAATTAAAAAAGGGGGGGGGGTAAAAAAAGCTGGCAAGCTGGAGCACAAGCAAGTAGCAAAAAGATGCACCGAAGCTGCAGCGATATCAGATCTGCCTGAAAAACAGGAATAGTTGTCAAAATGTTGTGACAGCCTGTTTCCTGCAGCCTCTCGCTCTTTTGATCTGGTGGTTCTCTGCAAACACTGGTTGCGGCTTTTTCGGTACCTCCCATTGTGGCACAGCTTAACCTGGCAGCTGAACTTTCCATCAAATCAGTTTAGCTTTATTGTTTGGATCTTCTGCACCGCTGAGAGTAAAGAAAACAGACATCAATCACTCTGTTTGTCAGCGGGTTATTGGCAAAGTGAGCACGAGTGCTCGAACACATGGGGAGACAGCTGCTAGCATGACATTTCCTCCAAGGGAATGTCCCTAACCTTGTCTTTTTTCCCTTCCTCGTGTCTGTGTGTGCATTCATATCCTTACATATTTTACATATTGAAGGAGTGACTCAGCTAAAAAGGCTCCTGCAGAATTTATGAGGCTGCTGTGCTTTGCTCCCCTTTATGCTCGTCATAAGCATTTTCCACATCTATTTTTACTCCTTTAGCGTATCAATTCTTTGGAAGGCACGAGTCCAGAAGAAGGGGAAATGAGTCAAAGCATGTGTGCCCTCCTCCTCCAGTGTTCATTATTGATGACAGTGAGGTCAGTAAATAAGGCGGAGATGCAAGCTGGAGTGTTGGGTTATTTTAGAGCTGTAAAAAAAATGAACTGAAGAGCGTTTTTCATTTAATCCCCGTGGCTGCAGTGATGGACAAGCACTTAAGCAGGCTGCTGGTTCTGCCAGAATCACATCTACTTGCAGGAGGAAGGTAATAGGGAGCAGGGTGTCAAAATGCATTACGGCGAGCAGACAGATGGGCTCTGAGATCCGCCTCGGATTTGTGACCCAGCCGGGTATTGACCAGATAACAAAATAGGGACAGAAAGAAAAAGTCAGATAGAAGCTGGAGCAGACTGACAGAAATGAAATGATTTAAGCAGATAGCTGACAGGTGTGAATACCACACTGGTGCAGCAATCTTGTTTTGTGGTGATGGATTTGCTGTTAAATGAAGATTGACATCTTACTGATACTGAGTCTCTGGGCAGAAGGCATGTGACCTGAGCCCCAGACAGAGCTGAGCAAATTTAGCTAAATCGGCTCTCTGTGTGATCGCGCTGTCGGCACATAAGCATCACGCCATCAACACATATTCCTCCATATGAAAACAAACTTGTCTGACCTTTTCCGATTCTGGTTGTAGCTGTAAACATGTTAGTGGGCGTTAACTCGGCCCAGATGTTGGAACCAAGGCAGAAAGTGGCATATGTTGGGATGGTAGCACAGGGCTGGGTGGAAACGGGGCCGTGACAGCCAGTCATTGTGCTTCGGTATTACACTGTCATTGTGTCAGTGTTGGGAGCAGACCCACGACAGATGCTCGACAGATAATAGAAGCGTTATCTCTGGATGTTCACTCAGTGACACACTGTTGCATGTAAATATGAACAAGGATTGCTTCAAAGAGAGAATCTCAGGTGAGCTAAATGTTATTAAGATCTGTGGAAAAGGCTTTGTCAGTGTGTGTCTGTGGAAAAGAAGGAGCGAGATTGCGATTTTGCTTATGAAACAAGAAAGCATATCCTTGGAGTAGAAATCTGTCTGTATGAGCGTATAATGAGACAGACATATTTCTCATTGAACCTGTAAAGCTTCTGCTGTCGGTGTAATGTAAAAGATTGCACACCTGCAGTTTTCATCAGATGCCATTTCTCCACAGCGGGGGTTTCATTATAGGATTCTCACCAGGCGGTGAAAATATTAGACGGTGCATACAAATAATACCTATATCAAGTGTGTTACAGGCTTTGATGCCATAAAAAATACTCTGTTAACTCTGTTTGTGTTTATAAGCACTCTACTCTGGACATGGCGATAGTTGCTTGCTCAAATATCTTTTCACAGATACTCGTGGTTGAAGATGAATAATAACGACATTGGTGATCTCTATTCCTCATTAGCAGGTAAACATACAAATAACCATTGGTTGGTTGGTGGCCATGACTCTTCATAGATATTTATCTCCCACTTAAAGTCATTTTAATTTGTGTAATTAGAACAGTTAAACTCAGACTTAGGGTCTTTATGTAATAAGTAAACAGGGTAAGACGCCTATAAACACCTATTAAGCAGAAGAGAATGGACGGACAGGCTTGATGTTCTACTCGATCGATTCCTGACTTGTCAAAGAAGTCGACTGTGCCGGCTCAGGTGTGGATATGAAAAGTGGAGGTCAGTAGTTTTTTACTTTTAAACAAGTTTTTGACAGATTTCTAAAATATTTCTGTCTTCTTGTTTTTTGACAGAAGGTCTAATAATTTTTTAAGCACTATACTTATGTTAGTCCAGTCTCAAAACACAGTTAGCATTATTATTGCAACCTTTCAGGGAAATCTCAAGTCAGCAGTAATGTGTAGCCGTGTGCACAGCTGTAGTCTGTGTTTGTGTGTCGACTGTAATTGCTTGATTCAGCCATTCTGTACGTGAGCAGATTTCCATTTTATGCTACAAGCTTCACGTGCCCCATCTGCTTAATGCGCCAGTTCATCATCTTGTCTAATCGAGGGTCTCCTTGACCGAAGCGATTCATAACCAGCTAACGGTGAATTTTGCTCGCTAATGGAATTTCCCACTTGTAAACAAATCAGTGAAATTGCCTTTCCGGCATGTTTTGATAATTAGATTACCGCGACTTCGTTGGATCTTATGGGATTATACACTTATGAATACTTATGATGTAAAATTGTAAGAAAAGGAGTTTGACAGTCCTAAAGTCGCACACTCTTTTGTGTTATTTGTGCTCAACTGTTTGCCATTCATTTTGGAAGAAAATTTGAGTAAAGAATTATTTATTTCAAATTAATAATCAAGTATTACAATTTCACTAACGACTCTTTGTTCTATTTAGATCATATTTGGTAGGAAGTTGTCTATCTACAAGTGAATATTTGGGGAACTCACACCTCCGCAGAGCAGCTTTTGCTTCCTTAGAGCATCATCACACCCGTTTTGTTTCACCAGATTGTCTGAAAACAAACACATTTCAGTTTGTCTGAGACACTGTTGCGCTACATTGTTTGAGAATGTTATTTACAGAGGTCAGAAGCCTTTTTCACGATTTCCATAATGTCACCAAGCAGTCGGGGTCTAACTCAGATTCCCAGCAGAAACAAGGCTGCAGATCTGTCTAATCACCAGATGCCTGCTCTCTAATGCATAATGCATCAGGCTGTTATTACAAGTCTGCAGGGAAAACACAGCAGTGATTTACATTAATAATTCATCAAACCCCTGTGACATCAAAGTCTTAATGGAGGAGACCCTGCATTAAGATGCGCGTGTGTGTGTGTGTGTGTGTGTGTGTGTGTGTGTGTGTGTGTGTG